ACTGTCTTCCACAATGGTTTAACTAATTTACACTCCCACCAACAGTGTAAAAGTGTTCCTATTTCTCCACATCCTCTCCAGCATCTGTTGTCTCCAGATTTTTTAATGATCGCCATTCTAACTGGCGTGAGATGGTATCTCAATGTAGTTTTGATTTGCATTTCTCTGATGACCAGTGATGATGAGCATTTTATCATATGTTTGTTGGCCTCAGAGAAAGTTTTATATCAGTGTAGGGACTGCTTACTGGCCAATTTTCCAGATTATCAGCCAAGGACCAACCTTGCAAACAGGCCTTTCTAGGGATAGCAGTATTGGGCCTATTATTTTAACTCTTTTGCATAAAATGTAACTCGATTCCAATCAAACTCCTAGAAATATTTTTAAGATATAAACTGATTCCAAAATTTATATAGAAAGGCAAAGGAACTAGAATAGCTAAAAGTTGTTAAAAAAAAAAAAGAATACAGTTGAAAATATCACAATAACCAGTTTTAAGACTAACTATATAGAAATAAAGACAGTGTGATATTGGTGAAGAAAGAGACACAGAGATCAAGGAAACAGGATATTGGTATAGACTCACAAAAACTGTTTTTAGCAAGGTACAAAAACAATCCTACACGTGGTGTTAAAAATTAGACATCCATATGCAAAAAAATGAACCTTGACCTAAACCTCACACCTTATACAAAAATTAACTAAAAATGGACTACAGAATTAATGTAACATGTAAAACTATAACCTTTTAGATAAAATATAGGAGACACGCCAAGCACAGTGGCTTATGCCTGTAATCCCAGCACTTTGGGAAGCTGAGGCAGGCAGATTACTTGAGGTCAGGAGTTCAAAACCAGCCTGGCCAACATGGTGAAACTCCGTCTCTACTAAAAATACAAAAATTAGCCAGGCATGGTGGTGAGCACCTGTAATCCCAGCTACTTGGAAGGCTGAGGCAGTAGAATCACTTGAACCCAGGATGCAGAGGTTACAGTGAGGCAAGACCATGCCATTTCACTCCAGCCTGGGCAACAAGAGAAAAACTTTGTCTCAAAAAAAATTATATTGTATACACACACACACACACACACACACACACACACACACACAGAGAGAGGGAGAGAGAGAGAGAGAGAGAGAGAGAGGGAGACTGTTCCTGACCTAGGTTTAGGCAAAGAGTTCTTAGAAGTAAGTACAATTGGCTGGGTGTGGTGACTCATGCCTGTAATCCCAGCACTTTGGGAGGCCAAGGCGGGTGGATCACGAGGTCAGGAGTTCAAGACCAACCTGGCCAAGAGGGTGAAACCCCATCTCTACTAAAAATACAAAAATTAGCCAGGCATGGTGATGACTGTCTATAATCCCAGCTACTCGGGAGGCTGAGGGAAGGAGAATTGCTTGAACCTGGGAGGCAGAGGTTGGGAGGTTGCAGTGAGCGGAGATCATGCCACTGTAATCCAGCCTGGGCAAAGAGCGAGACTCTGTCTCAAAAAAAAAAAAAAAAAAAAAAGTAAGTACAATCCATAAAGAAAGCATTGATAGACCAGACTTTATCAAAATTAAAAACTTTTGCTCTGGGAAAGACACTGGTAAGAGAAAGAAAACTACAGACTGAGAGGATATGCTTATAAATGACATATTCCACAAAGGATTTGTATCCAGAATATGTAAAGAGCTCTCATAACTTGATACTAAGAAAATGAACCACCCTATTTATAACTGGGCAAAAGACTTGAATAGATATTTCATCAAAGAGGATATATGCATGACAAGTATGGTTGTCAACATTATCAGCCCTTAAGGAAATAAAAATTAAAACTATGAGAAGATTCCTCTATACATCTATTAGATGGCTAAAATAATATACTAACAAAACCAAGTGCTGACAAGAATGCAGAGCAACCAGAACCCTCATGCATACGAGTGAGGATGCAAGATGTATGGCCACTCTGTGGCAATTTCTAATTAAGTTAAACATACACTTATCATATGTCCCAACAATCCCACTCCTGTGTGCTGACGTTAGAAATTAAAACATATATTCACATAAAAACCTGTATATTAATGTATATTTCTTTTCAAAAAATGGAAACAAACTAAATATCCGTCCACAGGAGAGTGGGTAAACTGTGATATATCCAAACCATAGAATACCACTCAGCAATAAAAAGAATGAACTAGTGATATCTGAAACAACTTGAATAAATCTTAAAGGCATCATGCTGAATGAAAGAAGCCATTCTCATAGGGTTACACACAACACAAATCATTTATACAATATGCTTGAAAGGGCAAAGAGATAGAGAATAGATCAGTGGTTTCCAGAAGTTAGGGGTAGGAGGTGGGTGTAACTCTAAAGGGATAACATACAGAAGTTTTTATGGAGTGGTCAAACTGTTCTATTTCCTAATCATAGTGGCAGTTACACAAATCTGTACATGTGTTAAAAATTCATAGAACTGTCACACTCTTCGGTATTTATCCCAGAGAAATAAAAACTATATTCACAAAGAAAACCCATATGCAAATATTCATAGTAGTTTTATCCTTAATGGCCAAAAACTAGTACAACCCAAATGTCCTTCAATAGGTGAACAGTTAAACATACCATATGTATTAGCCCATTTTCATACTTCTGTGAAGAAACACCCAAGACTGGGTAATTTATAAAGAAAAAGAGGTTTAATGGACTCACAGTTCCACATGGCAGTGGAGGCCTCACAATCATGGCAAAAGGTGAAGGAGGAGCAAAGGCACATCTTACATGGCAGCAGGCAAGAGAGTGCGTGCAGAAGAACTGCCTTTTATAAAACCATTGGATCTCATGAGACATATCCACTATCACAAGAACAGCATGGGAAAAGCCTGCCCCCATGATGCACTTACCTCCCACTGGGTCCCTCCCACAACACGTGGGGATTATGGGAGGTATAATTCAAGATGAGATTTGGGTGGGGACACAGCCAAACCATATTACCATGGTACATCCACACCATGGAATACTACTTAGCAACAAAAAGGAATTAACTATTCATACACACAACTTGGATGAATCTCGAGGGAATTATGGTGAGCAGTAAATATCAAGCTCGAAAGGCTATACACTGTATGATTCCATTAATATAACATTCATGACATAATGAAATTATAGAGATAGAAAACAAATAATTTGTCAGGGACAGGAAGGAGAGGGGAGGGAAATGGTTGTGGCTAAGAAAAAGTGGCATGAGGGATCCTTGTAGTGATGGAACAGTTCTGTGCCTTAACCATGGTAGTGATCACAAAATTTACACGTGAACAAATAGACTAAACATCTATTTACACATGTGATCAAATAGACTATACACACCCCCAAATAAGTGCATGTAAAATTGCTGAAATCTAAACAAAGTCTGTGGATTATAACAATGTTCATTTCCTAACTGTGACACTATACTACAGTTACGCCAGATGTTATTGTTGGGATAAATTAGGGTGAAGGGTACACAGGCTCTCTTTGTCTTTTTTTTCATTTCTTATGAATCAATTATTTCAAAACAAATATTAAAATTTTGTTGAACTACATATCCAAAAAGTCATTGTTGTTATTTGGTTATTTTAAAATATAAAAACCAAAGAATTATGAAAGCACTACATATAACTACAGTTATAAAAACAATATGATATTTTCTAGAACTGAGATTCGCTTTCAAGGAGTATACATTAATATAACTCGTGGAGCCTTATAAAAATATGTGTGCCTGGGACACATCACTACAATTCTGATTGGATAAGTCTGGGATAGGACCTGGGCATCTGATTCTGAGGTGCACCCCGAATGGATAAGCACTGCTTAAGATGGAAGGATAATATAGGCAAACAAATGAGAGCAGTGGTTTGGGGTTGCGGAATCACAGGTAATTATAATTTCTTACTTTGCTATAATATACATTTTTATGCAATAAAAATAACAAAAACTTTAAATAAAAAATATTTAGTTTGTCATTCCAACTGGCAGAGATACCTTTTCTCTGTAAGCCATTTATTTCCTATCCCTACTCCCAATTTCATGTCATCCAGGAATTTAATGAATACATTAAATTCCTCTGTTCTCATTTATATCACCAATGAGGATGCTAAGCAGAACAAAGTCCAATGGCAGTCACTAGAAATTTCTTTCCAACTTGGCAATGATAAGCAATCTTTGGGTTCTATTTCACTTAAGATCTACCCAAATTTTACTGTTATCTGATTTACTATTCTCTACCATTTTCATGCTTTGCTGATGTCCAAATATACTGTGTCTACTACAATTCCTTGGTCTTTCACTCCAAAATGAGCCTGAACCACTCCTCTGGTACTTAATAAAGGATATAAAACTATATTGTCTTTTCTTCTCAATTACATACTAAGACTGCTGGGCATAGACTGACCATGCTGTATGTTTCCTTGCAAACTCCATAGTGATTCATTCAATTCCATTCATTCAACAAATACTTACTGACCCCCTACTATATGGTATGTACTACAATGGGCTCTCCTTCCTTAATGTAAAATAATAATTAAGTATTCATAGCAGTATTCCCTCAATATCTAACCTTGGACAAACAGCTACCTGAAGGATGGTGCCACACTGTCCTTCCTATCATCCATTCCACCCAAAGCTTGAAAGACTTTGTCATCAACCCCAATCCAAATCACTAGATATACTTTTACATGGCTTTAAGAATGATAAAACAACCATACCATCACTGCCTTTTGTAGAAATAGTCTCTCCTTCCAATTAGTTCTCACAGTATTTTATCTGAAACATTCTTAGAGCACTTAGTATATTCTACTTTGTATTATACTTATTTGTCTGCATATCTTATGTTGCCTCCTACATCGTGAGCTCCTTGAGGGCAGGAACCATGGCTTATTCAACTCTGTAGACCCAGCACATTTTTACCATGTTTTTGGTTTGGCAGCCCTGAATGTAAAAGAGAATTGCTGCTCCTTAAGGCAAGATTTGTCAGGCTTACCTGCACCTCTACCAACCAGTCCACAAGAACAGCCCTCATGTTACCGGTGATTTCAATCTGCCTGTTCATGTAATCTGTAACTACAAACCGTTCCTGGAATCGATGAGAAAGAAATGTTAATAAACTCTTCTTGTAGTTCAAAATTGTAACTTAACAATTAACTTCTCCCTCATGATTCTAATTCCTCATTTTCAACTGGTATTAGATAGGAACAGATCAAAGTATCCTTTTCCAGGCAAGTTGCAATTATCCTTTGGGAAACAGACACATGTAATATTCAAGTGTCAGAGTGGATATTGAGGAGTCCAGGGGGAATAAGGGTGGAAACACATCTATAGCTGTAGACCAATGCCATAAAGTTTCTGCCCCTTCTTTGGAATTCAATCTAAAGCACAATACCACACTATGTAGAGCACTGCTTCTCAAACTTTAACACATATGCACTACTTGGGGATCATGTAAAACTTCAGATTCTGATTTAGAAGGTCTGGGATGGGGCTGGGTTTCTGCATTTCTAACAAGATCTCAAGTGAAACTGATACTGCTGAACCAAGGCTCACACTTTTAATATAACAAAGGTGTCTCTTACTTAGAGTATGCCAGAAAAAGTGTGGGCTTTGGAGTCAGTTAATCAATTTCACTCTCTCTACAAAGAGGATAGGTGGATCTGTAGGTGGATTTCCATCCACCCACCCTCTTACATATGACCTGCTAAAAATTCCACTTGGTAGATGATCTTCGTCTCATCTATTCCGTTTAGAGAGAGAGAGAGAAGAAACTTTGGAACTGATGAATATTAGTGGTAAAGGAGACTGGCAGATTTCAAAAGAGAAAGAAAAACTTCACCAGGTTGGAGAGCTGAAACAAAGATATAATTTTGCATACAATGCCAGAAACATGCATAGGGAAGGAAAGGAAAAATATCTCTAAGAACAGCCACTCAGAGACTATTTGACCATTTTTGTGTCTAAGACTGTCTTCTTACAGCAATTAGACGTGCAGGATTATGGTCTTCAAGGTAATCAGACTTTAGCCCATATCCCAGCTTTACCATATACCACTTAAATGACTCTCGGCAGTCTCCCCTATCTGTAACATCTACCATCGTGAAGTTACTGAGAGAATTAAGATAATATCTACAAATCTGTTAGTACAATGTCCAACTCATAGTAAGCTACCAATATGTTCGTTGTTGCTATTATTATTTTTATCATCATTATTATACCTCTTTCAACTTACATACTGAAGGATGGAAAGATGAGGAAATGAAAACTAGAAATCACTGTCCACTCCCCAACCCAAGCAACCTACACACCTCTCTCTCCTTCAGGTAACTGAAGATTTCCTTGACATACACTGGGTTGAAACTTGCATCACTGTTGTCCTCGTCAGTATCTTCCTGTGGGGTTATCTGCTTAGACATCAACGAAAAGAAATATTATGAGAAAAATTATTCTAAAGACTTAGCACATACTTATGAAGGATTACTCCTTTCTCCCCACTGTCTTCTTCTGCAAAGGTGTCTAAAGCCTTGCATATGCTGGGCCATAACACAGTATTCCTTGGCCCTGCAATCCTCATATGGCCCAGCGATCAAGAAATGCCTAGTCTTCCTTGTATATACTCTCACTGCCCTAGGAACAAGGGACCCTTTTTATAGGTAAGCTCAAGATTCTCCAAAACAGACATTCTTGTTTTATTATTTCAACTTTGTTACCTGTCTTCTTAGGTCCCTAATTATATCAATGCTTTGATCTGGTCTAATTCATCTTGGTAGTCTTTTCCTCCCTTCTACACCTTTGCCCAGGTTGTTTTGCCTACAAAAAGGACATTTCTCCTCCAGCTTGCTAAATATCATCCCTTCATTATTCAAATTTACAACGTAAAGACTACCTTCCTTGGGAGATGCTCCTATGAACTTCGCCCATTTTTGACTGAAACCCACTGTGATGCAAATTGCAATTACTAAAAAAGGCAATTTCCTGAATGAAATTACCTGACCGTTATTGCAAAGCCCAAGTATATAGCACAATAGTCCAGACACTTGTGGGTATTATTGGAATAAATACTTTCTGATTGCTTAGATCTATCACTGTGCTAATCAGGAAGACAAGAGATTCTACAAGGCCAACTTGATTGAAGAGAAAAATGCCAAAGAACCTGGGAAATGTATCCCATATCATGGGTAACCTCAGGATATAAAAGGTGAGAAGAGATGATTCTGCATCACCTATCATAAAATAAAACCAGAAGTAAATCCAACAAATATCACCCTCCCACTAGGTAGAGGGATACCCCCAATAACTTACTATATATGGCTCAATTGCTTAGGAAGATTAAATAAAAAAAAAATAAATAAATAAACTTTGCTAGCAGCCACCTCCAGGATATCAAAGAACACTATCTAATTTAAGAAGAAAGAGAGATGAATACCTCCTTTGGTGTTCGCTTGGCCTGTGGTGAGAAAGGTTCATCAGAAGCACATGCACTGGACTTGGTGGTGGTACTGGACTTGCCCACGCTGGTGATGGTAGCAATGCTGGACTTGCCTGTTACGGATTCACGAATGGTGCTAGACCCATATGGGCTGGTTCCAACTTGGGGGATCAATAATGTTTTGAGAAAGATGTCTTTCTTGCAGGTGGTACTCTCTTGTAAGGTCAATAGCTCCTTGAAGGACAATTCCTTCCCAGTGGTGGGTTTCTCATTCAGAGTTGTCATATCTTCGAAGAGGGATGCCTCATTCATGGTAGACATCTGCAAGGGTAATGGCTCTTTGAAGAGGGTCTCTTTCTCAATGATGGACTTCTCCTGCAAAACCAAGGACTCCTTGAAGATGGTCTCCTTCTCAGTGCTGGGCTTCTCACACAAAGCCAAGTGTTGCTTAAAGCAGGCCTGCTGCTCAAAGTTGGGCTTCTCCTGCAAGTCCAAAGTTTCCTTAAAGTAAGCTTCCGTGTCAATAGTGGGCTCCTTGAGGACAGCCTCCTTCTCAACGCTGGGCTTCTCCTTCATGGCCAAAAGTTTCTTGAAGAGGGTCTCCCCCTCCTCAATGCTAGGATACCCCTCTAAGTCCAGTGGCAGCTTAATAGGAAACTCTTCTTCATTGATGTTTTCATTCAAGGCCAACTGCTTCTTCAAGAGGAACACTTCTCCCTGAGCAGTAGACTGTTCCTTTAAAGATAATTGTGTATCTATGTTTGTGGCTGCCTCAGCAGGATGCTCCTTCTTCAGAACCAATGGCTTTTTGATAAGGAACTCATATTCTTCCACGGTGCTTTTCTCCTGCAAGGCCAACAGCTTCTTCAAGGAATCCTCTTTGGTAGCAGCCTTCTCTTGCAAGACCAAAGCCTCCTGGAAGAGGGACCCACTTTTGTTGGTATGCTTAACATGTGATGAAAATAGTTCCTGAGAGAATTCCTCCTCAGTGGTAGTCATCTCCTGGATGGGCAATGACTCTCTTGAGAAGGACACTTCCTGCAAGGTTGTGTGCTTTTCTTTCAATGCAGATGGTTCCTGGAAGAGAAACTGTTCTTCAGTTGTAGATTTCATCTTAAAGGGCAACAGTTTCTTATAGAGTGTTTCCTCCTCAGAAGTGATCTTCTGCAAGACCAGTGGCTTCTCTAACAGCGACATCTTCTCCTGAGTAATGTTCTTTTTCTGTAACGACAATGATGTCTTGGTAAGTACTGTCTCTTCAGTCGTAAGTTTCTTCCTAAAAGACACTGGCTCCATAAAGAAAGAACTCTTATTGTCACCAATCATATCCTGAAAGTTCAACAGTTCTGGCCAGACAGACATCATTGCTTGAGTGGTGCACTTTTTCTTTAAAGGTACTTTTTCTTCTTTAAAGGACAATGGCTCCTCAGTAAGTGACTTCTCTCCAGAGGTGGTCTGTAACACTAGTGGTTTCTTCAATTGGGACACTGTCCCCTGAGTGGTGTGCTTCCTCTTTAAAATTAAAGGCTTCTTGGTGGGAGTTGCCTCCTCAGTGGTACACTTTTTAAAAGCCAAAGCCTCATCAAAAAGTGACTCCTCAGTTGGAGACTTCAGCAAGGACAAGGGCTCCTTTAAGATGGATACCTCCCCCTGAGTGGTGTGCTTCTCTTGCAATGCAGATGGTTCCTGGGAAAAGGACTCCTTCTCAGTAGTAGGCTTCTTCTTAAAGGGCAATGGCTCCTTAATCAGTGATTTCTCCCCAGAGATAGTCTTCGGCAATATTAGTGGATACTTCAGGCAGGACATCTTTCCCTGTGTGGCACCTTTCTCATTTTTTAAAGATAATGGCTTCGTCATGGAGGTTGACTCCTTGGTAGTATGCTTCTTCTCAAAGGAAACTAGCTCCATAAAGTTATCTTCACTGTCACTATTCTGCTGCAATGTCCATGGCTTCTTCAAGTGGTCTACCTCCCCCTGAGTGGTGTGCTTCTCTTGTAATACAGATGGTTCTTGGGAAAAGGGCTTCTCAGTAGCAGGCTTTTCTTTAATGGACAATAGCTTTGTAACGAGTGACTTCTCTCCAGAGGTGATCTCCTGCAATACTAATGGCTTCAAGTGGGACCTCTTTCTCTGAGTCATGCACTGCTTCTTTAAAATTAATGGCCTCATGGTTGCCTCCTCAGTGCTAGCCTTCTTCTTAAAGGCTAATGACTCCTTAACAAGGGAATCCTCTTTAAAGTTGGTCTTCTCCTGCAAGGCTAATGATTTCTTCAAGATGGACATCTCATGCTCAGTGGTGCACTTCTCTTGCAATACAGATGGCTCTTGGAAAAGGGTCTCCTTCTCACTGGTAGGCTTTTTCTTAAAGGACAATGGCTCCTTAATGGAGGACATCTCTCCAGAGATGGTTGTCTGCAATACCAGTGGCTTCTTAAAGTGACACATCTTCCCATGAATGGTACATTTCTTCTTTAAAGATGACAGCTTATTGGTGGAGATTGACTCCTCAGTTTTAGGCTTCTTCTTAAAACTCATTGACTCCATAAAGAAGGAATCCTCTTCAATATTGACATCCTGCAAAGCCAACAACTCTTCCTGGCAGGGCTGCTTCCCCTGACTTGCACACATCTTCTTTAAGGATAATGTCTTATTGGTGATGGCTTCCTCCTCAGTTTTATGTGTCTTCTTAAAAGTCATTGGCTCTAAAACAAACTCATCATCACTGTCACTCTCCTCCTGCAGGGGCTGTGGCTTTTCCAATATGGACACGTGCCTATCATTTGAGCACTTCTTTAAAGATAATGACTTCTTGATAAGGATTTTATCCTCAGTAGCGGGTTCCTCTTTTAAAACTAATGGCTTTCTGAAGAGAGATGCCTCCTCGCTACTGGGTGTTTTGGAGGTGCTGGTTATGTCTAGAATGAGTGGTTTCTCCATAATGTTTGATACCAAGGTAGTAGAGGCTACTACTGGTGTGACTTCCAGCTTATGCCTGTGAAGGAAACAATGTCTGGGTAATAAAAATGTAGTTACTAGAATCCTCACCTACCATCTTCTTTTGTTGCTATATTTACTAAAGGTATGAAAGGGAAAAGGCTACAACTCCATAAGACAGATTAGAGGGACAAAATCAATAGGTATAATGGTGAATCAACTTAAGTAGCACACTGTATGGTTTTTATGATCTAGATCCCTAGACTTTTCTATAATTTTTCCATTGAAATTCATGTTATGCATTCTTATATATGCTTTATTACCTTATATACAAAGGCTTTTATTATAATACTTATCTGTTCATATATCAGTCTCCCTCACTAGCTGCATTTGTCTTTGTCTATCAATCCAAGGCATCTGGTAAAATTCAAGTTGAAATTAATATTGTTTGAAGGCTAATGAGAGAGGTGGCCTGGTAATTAAAATTGGTAGTATCTACCCACATTCCCTTCACCCTGGGCAATTCAAGAGATGTGTTCCCAATGGAAGGCTGAAATAGAAATTTGTCACATGCGTCAGATGCAAAGCTTTGTTTTGAATAGGACTGTATATTCAACCAGAGTGACGAACCTAGTGAGACCAAATCACAGGAAGACTAAAGATCAGAATACGAAGAGGGAGAACTGCAGGTAGATATAATCACTTACCAGTCTGAACAGGAGTAAATACCTTCAAAAGAACATATATATGATTCAGTTCAATATGAAATATGCAGAATGGATATATCCATAGAGGTATATCCATAGCAGAAAGTAGACTAGTGGTTTTCTGAGGCTGGGACACGGGTAGGAGTAGAAAGGGGGATTGAAAAGGGAAAGGAACCCCTAATAGGTATGGATTTAGTGGGGGCAGGGGTTGAAAAAGTTCTAAAATTAGATAGTGGTGATAGCTGTACAAATCTAGGAATAGAATGAAAAACCACTTATTTGTTAAGAAAAAAAAGTAAGTACTTCAAAAGGTTCTGCTTGACCAGATAGATTCCAGGTCCCTCCTGATAACTTTTAGAGAAGATCTTTAAATAGTCTAGCCAAGGTAAGAACATTCATTCTGGAGCTAGACTACCTGGATTCAAATTCTGGCTCCTCTACTTACTGACTGGGTGACCTTGGGCAAGTTAACTCTCTGTGCTTCAGTATTTTTCACCTATAAAATAGGGATCATAATAGCTCCTTCATAGGCTTATTGTGAAGATTCAACAAATTAATATGCTTAAAAACATCCTTGCCATGTATGTACCTATGCGACAGTCCTGCATGATCCACACATGTACCCCAGAACCCATATATACATTTCATAAGCCCACATCAAAAAAAAAAAAAAACCACACTTAAAGGAATGTCATGAACAATTGATTGTCAACAAATTAGATAATTTAGATGAAATGGACAAATTCCTAGGAAGACACAAACTACCAAAACTGACTCAAGAAGAAAACAGACAATCTGAATAGACCTAAAACAAGACATCAAATCAATAATCAAAAACTACTCACAAAGTAAAGTCCAGGATCAAATGGCTTGAATTCTATCCAAACATTTAAACAAGAATACCAGTTCTTCATTAACTCTTCCAAGAAATGCAACAGTGGGAGGTTTCTAACTCACTGTATGAGGTCACTATTACTCTGATATCAAAAACAGACACCATTAAAAAACTACAGACCAATATCTCTGATGAATATAGATGCAAAAATCCTCAGCCAAATACTGCAAACCAAATCCAGCAACATATAAAAGGATTACACATTATAACCAAGTGGGATTTATCCCAGAAATGCAAGATTAATTTAACACCTCAAACTCAATTTGTATACTATATCACATTAATGGAATAAAAAACAAAAACTACATGATCATCTCAAAAGATCCAGGAAAATCATTTCACAAAATCTAACCCTCCTTCATAATAAAAAGCACTTAACAAACAAGGAATAAAATGGAGGTTCCTCAACCTGATAAAGGATATCTATGAAAAATGCAAAGCTAACATCATACTCGATGGTGAAAGACTGATACTTTCCCCCAAAGATCAGGGAGAAAACAAGAATGTCCAACTCTTGATACTTCTATTCAACACTGTACTAGAGGTTCTAGCCAGGGCAAGTAGGCAAGAAAACTAAATAAAAGGCATCCAGTTTTGAAAAGTAAAACTATCTGTATTCACAGATGACATGATCTTTCATAGAGAAAATCCCAAGGAATACACACAGAAACTATTAGAATGAACAATTTCAGCAAGATTCCAAGACACAAAATCAATAAACAAAAATCAAATGTGTTTCTATATACTTGCAATGATCTGAAAATGAAATTAAGTAAACAATTCCATTTATAATAGTATCGAGAAGAAAATGCTTAGAAATAAATTTAACAAAATAAGCATAAAACTTATATTCCAGAAACTGTAAAAACCATTGAAAAAGCTAAATATCTAAATAGATAGACATCCATGTTCATGAATTAGAAAACTTAGTATTATTAAGATGTCAGGCTGGGCACAGTGGCTCACGCCTGTAATCCCAGAGCTTTGGGAGGCTGAGGCAGGCAGATCACTTCAGGTCAGGAGATCAAGACCAGCTTGGCCAACATAGTGAAACCCTGTCTCTACAAAAATTAAAAAAAAAAAAAAAATTAGCCAGGCATGGTGGCCGCGCACCTGTAATACCAGCTACTTGGGGAGGCTGAGACATGAGAAGCGCTTGAACCTGGGAAGTGGAGGTTGCAGTGAGCTAAGATCACACCACTGCACTGTGGCCTGGGCAGCAGAGTGAGACTCTGTCTGGGAAAAAAAAAAAAAAAAGTCAATACTTCCCAAGTTGATCCACAGATCCAAGGCAATTTGTACAAGAATTCCAGCTAGCTCTTACGTTTATATCGTTAATCCATCTGGAGTTAACATAAGGCCGAACAAAGTAAAAACCCTAGAAGAAAACCTAGGCAATACCATTCAGGACATAGGCATGGGCAAGGACTTCATGACTAAAACACCAAAAGCAGCAACAAAAGCCAAAATTGGCAAATGGGATCTAATTAAACTAAAGAGCTTCTGTACAGCAAAAGAAACCATCATTAGAGAGAACCAGCACCTAACAGAATGGGAAAAACTTTTCATAATCGACCCAACTGACAAAGGGCTAATATCCAGAATCTACAAATAACTTAAACAAATTTACAAGAAAAAAACAACCCCATCAAAAAGTGGGTGAAGGGTATGAACAGATACTTCTCAAAAGAAGACATTTATGCAGCCAACAAACATATGAAAAAATGCTCATCATCACTGGTCATTAGAGAAATGCAAATCAAAACTACATTGAGATAGCATCTCATGCCAGTTAGAATGGTGATCATTAAAAAATCAGGAGACAACAGATGCTGGAGAGGATGTGGAGAAATAGGAATGCTTTTACACTGTTGGTGGGAATGCAAATTAGTTCAACCATTGTGGAAGACAGTATGGCGATTCCTCAAGGATCTATAAATAGAAACATCATTTGACACAGCAATCCCATTACTGGGTATATACCCAAAGGATTATAAATCATTCTGTTATAAAGAAACACTGCGGCACTATTCACAATAGCAAAGACTTGAAACTAACCCAAATGCCCATCAGTGATAGACTGGATAAAGAAAATGTGGCACATATACACCATGGAATACTATGCAGCCATATAAAAGGATGAGTTCATGTCCTTTGCAGACATGGATAAAGCTAGAAACCATCATTCTCAGCAAACTAACATAAGAACAGAAAACCAAACACCACATGTTCTCATATATCAGTGGGTGTTGAACAATGAGAACACATGGCCATAGGAAGGGGAACATCACACATCAGGGCCTATTGGGAGGTGGAGGGCTAGGGGAGGGATAGGAGGCAGTGGTGGGATAGGGGAGGAATAGCATTAGAAGAAATACCTAAAGTAGATGATAGGGTGATGGAACCAGCAAAACCACCATGGCACGTGTATACCTATGTAACAAACCTGCACGTTCTGCCCATGCACCCCAGAACTTAAAGTATATATACAAAAAAAAAAAAGAATCCCAGCTTGCTTATTTGTAGAAATTGACAAGCTGATTCTAAAATTTATATAGAATTGCTAGAATTGCAAGGAACCCAAAATAGTCAAAACTATCTTTAAAAAGAACAAGATCTGGAGGAGTCACACTTCCCAATTTCAAAATACAACATGAAGCTGCAATAATCAGGATGATATGGTACTGGCATAATGATGGTTAATGACAGACATATAGATCAATGGAATAAAATTAAGAGTCCATATATAAACACATTTATGGTCAACTGATTTCCAACAAGGGTGCCAAGGAAATTAAGAAAGATTAGTTTTCTCGACATATAGTGCTGGAAAAACTGGATATCCACACTTGAAACCATGAAGTTAAGGCCCCTAATACATACCACCAATAAAAATTAACTGAAAATAGATCAAATCCCTGAGTTAAGAGCTAAAACTTTAAAATTCTTAGAAGCAAACAGGTGTAAATTTTCTTAACCTGGGATTTGGCAGTGGTTTCCTAGCTATGACATCAAAATCATAAATAAGAAAAGAAAAAATAAATTAGACTTCAGAATTAAACATTTGTGTGTTTCAAAGAACATCATCAACAAAGTGAAAAGATAACCCACAAAACAGGTGAAAATATTTGCAACTCATATCTGATCAGGGACTTGTATCTAAAATATATAAAGAACTCTTACAACTCAATAATACAAAGACCAGTAACTATTTACCATTATTATATGTCAATTAAAAATAAAATTTTAAAAATCAAGAAACAAAAGCATAAAAAATGGGCAAAGGATCCAAACAGACATTCCTCCAAAGAAAATATACAAATAACCAATAAGCACATGAAAGATGCTTAACATCATTAGTCAGAGAAATGCAAACCTAAAAACCACAATGAGATACCACTCTGCACCCTCTAGGATGGCCATAATTTAAAAAAACAAAAACAAAAAACACCGCCAGCTGGGCATGGTGGCTCACTCCTGTAATCACGGCACTTTGGGAGGCTTAGGCAGACATATCACCTGAGGTCAAGAGTTTGAGACCAGCCTGGCCAACATGGCAAAACGCTGTCTCTACTAAAAATACAAAAATTAGCCAGGTGTGGTGGTGGGTGCCTGTAATCCCAGCTACTCGGGAGGCTGGGGCACAAGAATCACTAGAACCCAGGAGGAGAAGTTTGCAGTGAGCCGAGATCGTGCCATTGCCCTCTGGCCTTGGTTAGAGTGAGACTGTCTCACAGAAACAAACAAACAAACAAAACGCTGTCACCACTCCATAGTGGCTACACCATTTTACATTTCCTCTAGTAAATACACTGCTGGGGGAAATGTAAAATGGTGTGGAACATAAAATTACCACATGACCCAGCAACCACACTCCTAGGTATACACACAAAAGAACTGAAAACAAGTGTTCAAACAAAAATGTATATACAAATGTTCATAGCAGCACTATTCAAATAACCAAAAGGTAAAAACAACCCAAATGGCTATCAACTGATGGATGGGTAAACCAAATGTGATATATATATGCAATGAAATATTATTTTGTAATAAAAAGAAATGAAGTACTGATAACCTGCTATAACAGGGATGAACCTCGAAAACATGCTAAGTGAAAGAAACTAGACACAAAAGACCACACATTGTCTAACTCCATTTACATGAAACATCCAGAATAGGGAAATCTATATAGAGACAGAAAGTAGATTAATAGTTACCCAGAGCTGGGTAGGTTGGGGGTATTGAAAGGTGATAACCAAAGGTACCAAATTTCCTTTGGAGTTAATGAAAATGTCCTTAAATTGATTGTGATGGCTGTATAACTGTGAATATCCTAAATACCATTGGATTGTATGCTTTAAATGGGTGAACTGTATGGTATGCAAATTATATCTCAATAAAGCTGTTATCAAAAAAAAAAAAGACTTAGTGATTATACTTGTGGGATTATAGTGAGCTCTCAATAAATGGCAGCTATTACTAGTTTTCATACTATTATTAGGGTCCTTTCCACTAAACCCTGAATGAAGGGAGGAATGTTTATGACATTTGTGAGGATTGCCCTGCTAAAGTCAGAATGATGAAAGAAATTTGAAAGAAAATAATGCAGATAATTAAGGTCAAAATATGCATGCAAACTCCAGGAATCCATTTCAGCAGGAAACCAAGTAAGGCTAAATGCTAATGTTCTTTCTGCTGGGTAATTAGCAAAATATCCTGTGGATCTTGCATGTTATTTTCTAGAGTTACCCAATCTTTTTACCTTATCGTTCCATGCTCCCAGGAGTGATAATCCAAACATCTCACAACCAGTATGGCACTGCGCCAACAAATCACAGTGGAAGCTAGCATCAAACAACCAGTACAATAGTACTGGTATGAGTTGGCTAAATAGCAGCCCTAAGTGTTTCCAAGAGATACAGGATGTAGTTTTGTACTCTATGCCAGGGATACTGGCTGGCAAATAGCTGAAAAGATGCTGTATTAACATCAATCCACCTTGACCTCATTAGATTTTCAGAGGGGAAGAAAGGCAATATGATTGACTTTAGCCCTGTAATAGCCATCACTATCTAATCTATTCAGGGGTAGATTGGTCATTCCCTGAAGAATAATTCCCACCGGAATGAGCAGGGGATATCGAAAGGTCTCGTTCCACTATCTAAGTCATATTTCAATAAAAGTCTTTCTAGAGGTAAATTCTTTTTCCAATACTAAATGGGAATGTACATCTGCACTTGTGGAACCTGTGAACGGTACCTATAACAGCTGAAAGACACATGTTTTTTGATCTAAGGAGACAGTAATTTATCTCCAGTAACAAGGAACAAACCTCCCCTAAAGCTTCTAATGGGATAAGCAGATTGGCAAGCTACCTGTCAGCTGCTGAAAGTCCCTGAAAAGTTAAGTTGTCACCACACTCCCAAGCACAGACCAGCTCAAACAGGTACTGAATTACTAAAAGACAGGAAAAGATATGCACAAGGTCTTTTGGCAAACTTTCCAATGACAACAGTTCTTTCAATATGCACACACATAATGAAAGAAGAGAAACAGAAGAGGCATGTAACTCTTCAGCAACCACAGCGAGGCCCCCCTCAGCACCCAGGGTTAATGTGGTAGTCACAATTGTGGTTTGCTAAATAAGTTCTCAGTGGGGACAAAAAAAGGGATAAAAGGATGTCATATACTCTACCATCTAAAATAATGCCACCGAGTCCCCTCTCACTCACCATTTTAGATTCCGTTTATTCTTTATGGCCAATCCAAGAGCACAAGTGTTTCTGTTTATCTTCTTGGAAACATCTTTTACAAACTCTTTGTTGGCTTCTTTCTTGGGCTGGGCAGGTTGACATTGAAAAGCCTGCAAAAAAAAAAAAAAAGGTTGGGGGGGCAGGGGAAGAAGGAGGCAGAAAAATGAAGAAAACCACAAATTACCTAATAGATGGCTATCATAGGAGAATCCTGACCCACATAAGTTGGTTGGGTACTCCCAGGAGTGATAATCCAAACATCTCACAACCAGTATGACACTGGGCCAATCAATCACAGTGGAGGCTAGCATCAAACAACCAGTGCAATAATACTGGTATGTGTTGGCTAAATAGCAGCCCTACGTGTTTCCAAGAGATACAGGATGTAGTTCTGTGCTTTACGTCAGGCCTACTGGCTGGCAAATAACTGAAAAGATGCTGTGTTAACATCATACTCCACTCTGACCTCATAAGATTTTCAGAGGGGGAAAAAAGCATTATGATTGACTTTGCTGTCTGGGTGTGTCTCTTCAGGATACACCTCTAACACAATACTACCTGTGATATATCTATCCCATTTCACTAAGTGGCATTTATTTAATGCAGGCTCTGGGGAGTTCTACCACAGACTTTAATCCTGAATAACACTATTAAACAGTAGGAAAGATCATGGGACTGTGAATAATGTCAGTAAAAATACAGTTAAAGTTGTATCTTTAAAATGAAACAAATAGGCCAGTCACAGTGGCTCATGCCTGTAATTCCAGCACTTTGAGAGGTCATGGTGGGAGGATTACTTGAGCCCGAGTTCAAGACAAGCCTGGGCAACATAGGGAGACCCTGTCACTACAAAATTTTTAAAAAATAGCTGGGTGTGATGGCACATGCCTATGGTCCCAGCTACCTGGGGGAATGAGGTGAGAGGATCACTTCAGTCCAGGAGGTTGAAACTGCAGTGAGCTTTCATCACAATACTGCACTCCAGACTGGGCAATAGAGCAAGACTGTCTCAAAAAAATTGTAAAACTTAAAAAATTAAATGACACAAATGAACCTAATTATATTTCAAATATTTCAAGTACCATAACTACACTAAAGGAAAAGAGAAAACGGAAGAAAAGATCAGAAATAAGAAATCCAAGTAACTTATAAATAGCATTTGACTATCTACCCTTGAAGTACACATCCTCAATAGGATAGGTTTGCAGGGGAGGTGGTAGATATTGCTAATAAATCTGGAACTCTTTTTAGTAGGTTTGTTTATTACAGTGGTTTGGATGAAGCCATTTTGAAATTCTTTTAGCTGTATTACAGTATTAAGTAAATGTGTTGATGTTCTTGGGAACCAGGGCTCTCATTATAGAAAAACATACAAATAAGGATTAGTGAATCCAAGAAAGAATCTTATGTATTGGAATTGAAGCTGTATGAATTTATGATTTCCTAAATAGGTGTATGTGTGTACATATACTAAATGCCCATATCAAAAAGCTAGAAAGATCTCAAATCAACAACCTAATATCGTGACTAAAAGAACTAGAGAACCAAAAGCAAACAAACCCCAAAGCTAGCAAAAGACAAGAAGTAATCAAAATTCACGTGAAAGTTAAGGAGAGGGAGACACAAAAAACCCTTTTAAAAAATCAACGAATCCAGGAGCTGGCTTTTTAAAAAAATTAATACACTGTTAGCTAGACTAATAAAGAAGAAATGAGAAAAGAATCAAATAGACACAGTCAGAAATTATATGGCAGATATCACCAATGACCCCACAGAAATACAAGCAACCATCAGAGAATACTATAAACACCTCTGTGCACATAAACTAGAACATCTAGAAGAATTGGATAAATTCCTGGACACATGCACCCTCCCAAAACTGAACCACTTACACATATATATTTGTGTATATAGACATATGCATAAGTACACATTTGTGTATATAAAAATACAGATATTTCCTAGCTCTGTCTGCAGAATGGCCACAAAAAGCAGACACTCTAATAGCACATCTAGCACCAAGATCTTGGTGTCTAATATCATTCCCCACTAAAGGAAACCAGAAATCTGGAGAAATGATTGACTCCAGGGCTTGGACAAAGGAGGCATAAGATGAGTCTAGAACATCTTTTTAGGCTGGAAAGAAAATGCTCAAAAAATTATGAGAACATGTCACAAGACACAGTAGTTAGATTGAAGGCGCTCCTAACTGGCCAAAGATGGGGCAATTTGAGCACTAAAATAAAGTACAAAAATGAATAATAAACCACTAAAAAATATGAAATTAATGAGTCCATACCGATAATATGAATTAATGAGTCCATACTAATAATAAACAGTGGAAAAGGGAAGGCTCGTGCTTGTGGCAGGATGCCAGAAAAGACTGATAAATGGAGAGCAAGCACTAGAGTTGGAAAAGTCATATAAAGATTTAGGCATAAATCAACAATAGATGCTAAATCTAAAGGACATTTTTATGAAAAGCAAGTTATTTGCAGGCTCTTAAGAGTATGTCCTATAGATTCCTTACTAGTTGCAAGATAAAAAAGATAAACAACACTGATACAGTACAAAAACCAGGCAACATCTTGACCAGGTGATCAAAATTAATGTCATCAACCAATGACAGACATCCTGTGCTTCCAGATATGATACTTAGAGAAGGACTGCAAGAACATCACCTACAAGCCAAGAATGTATCAATCTAGTCACAAGCAAACATTAGACAAAAACAAACTGAGGAGTTTCTATTTTACAAAGTAGGGAGTTGGGTGGGACTGTATCCTCAAAAATGGCAATGTCATTAAAAAAAAAAGGCTATGAAAATATTCCAGATTAAGAGGCTAAAAAGACAAGTAAATACAATACATGATCCTAGCCTGGATCCTCTACTGGAGGGGAAAACATGCTATAAAGGTTGTTATAAGTTCAACTGACAAAACTGGAATATAGATGACTGATTACACAAAACTGCTATATCAATGTAAATTTAGAAAATTAGTAAGTGTACTGTGGTTATATAAGACGATTTCCCTATTCTTAGGAAATGCACACTATACTTAGGGGTAAAGGGACCACGATGTATATAAGCAGATGAGAAAGCACGTGGGACAAAATATCAGCAATAAGCAATCTAGTAAAAGCTATACTGGTGTTCTCTGTACAATTTTTATTTTTGCAACACTTCATAAATTTGAAGGTATTTCCAAATGAAATGTAGAAAAAAAAGTATGTCTTTGTATCATCAGATCATAATAAACAACTACAGTCTAATAGGGAATTCTTTCTTAGGACCTCAAGTCATCTACCTCTGCTTTTCAAAGAGCTTGGCAGAGCCTTCATTTTAACTTCACCTAAATTTTACAACCTCCTTATATGTGCAATCAAGATTCAGAATGGGAAAAGAGGTGCATTCTTGGCAAGAGACAGGTGGAGACCATAGCCCCCAAGATGAAACTCTCTACTTGCCATACATGCAGGTACAAAACACTGATATTTTCAAGTCTAAGCTCAAGGGGACCTTTACTTGTGCTTCCCCATAATTCTTTCACCATAAAATAGGAAAATAGAAATGAAGATTGGGTGTGGCGGCTCATGCCTATAATCTCAGCACTTTGGGAGGTCAAGGAGGGAGAACTGCTTGAGCCCAGGAGTTCAAGACCAGCCTGGGCAATATGGCAAAATCTCATCTCTACAAAAAGAAAACATAAATTAGCTGGGCATGGTGGCGAGCACCTGTAGTCCCAGCTATTCAGAAGGCTGAGAAGGGAGGATCACTTGAGCCCAGAAGGCTGAGGCTGCAGTGAGCTGTGATCACACCAGCTTGGGCAAAAGAGCACTCCAGCTTGGGCAAAAGAGCAAGACTTTATGTTAAAATATATATATATATAAATAAAAATAAATGAAAGTCCTACTTACACAAAACCATTTAGGCAAACATGGATATAGGCTCTATCTCCTTGTATTCTAGCTTAGCACCAGCTCTTAAATATCACAAGTCCTTCCCATGCTATAAATGATAAGGGAGAGGAAAAGAAAAACTCACAGCCAATTAACTAATTAAAACAGATTAACTCTTTTTGGCAGGCCAGGACTTCATTGTGGCAAATGTTGAGAAGAACACAGAGATGAAGACATGGATACTGACCAGAAGAAGCAAATTATCATATAGGGAACCTCTGAAACCCAGAAAGAAAGGAACCCTCAACTGTCAAATAGATGAGCTCAGATATCTACAGTAATGCCCAACCCTAGGAATGGCTTAGGTACATTGTAATGATAGAACTTTCTCTGGAAGACACCAAAGAAAATTCAAGGTAACCAAGGTAAATCTTCAGAACTTGAATGCAAAAGGGAAATAGGCTTTCTGAGCTGCTAGAGAGCTAGAGGCAGAGACGCTGCTCAGAGATGCCTTGCTCCCCTCTCCCCTAACCCCTGGGATATAGCCAAACAGAAGCTCAATTCAGTTGGAGAATCAGGAGAATACTAGGTATCTGCATGAATTTCCTATTATTGATATAGTTCATCTGTGTCTGTTCTTTCTGAATGGTAAGATAAACTCATGAAAAAAAGGACTGAGATGTCTCAAGAAAGCATCTCATATACTGTGATACTTTACCACTATGATTTGAATATTTGTGTCCCTTTGAAATTCATTATGTTGCAACCTAATCACCAATGTGATACTATTAAGAGACAGGCCTTTTGAGAGGTGATTAAGTTATGAGAGCACAGTCCTTGTGAATGGGATTAGTGCCCTTATAAAACAGGTCCAAGGGAGCTTGTTTGACGCTTCCACCATGTGAGGGCACAGGCAAAAGTTGTCATCCATGAGGAATGGGCCCTCACCAGATATCAAATCTGTCAGCACCTTAATCTTGGACTTTTCAGCCTCCAGAACTGTGAGCAATAAGTTTCTGTTGTTTATAAGTTTCCCAGTCTAAGGTGTTTTGTCATAATGACTCACACGGACTAAGACACTTCCCTTGCATAGTGTCACTGTACTCCCATCCCATCAGACTTGGAGGGGCCAAGGGAAGTTACACTAAGCCTGCATCTGCTCCTGATTTGTGGCTACCTTATTTCAGCCAAATTCTGTATCCGTGGTTAAATAAGTCAGGAAATGAATCTAACCTTTCAAGTGTGTATGTGGGAAGGGGCTCTTTCTACCAATTGACAGTAAGTCTGAAATTATGCAGACAGCTATATCTTAAAAACCGTGTTGTAATCTGCATGGGGATGAGACTGTATCTGTAGAAAGGTGGTCATACAAAATGTAAAGAGGAGGGATCTAAAGGAAAGAACTTTGCCAATGCTTATCCAATTATGCCCAAGGGAGTAAAACACTATTTAGTAGATATAAGTATTCTGGTAGCTACAGAATAAACTAGGTCATTTATTCCAAATAAAATTTGCTGACAACATTCCAGAGAGGGTCTGGTAAAGTGGAAAGGTCCCTCAAGAAACAGACTATCTAAACCTTATGCAAAACCACAGCAGAGGATTAGACTAGCATACTTACATTAGTGAGATCTTCAAAAGCTGATCTCTTTTTGAGTGCTCCCTGAAGTGAAGATGGAGATAGCTTTATTTGGCAATTCTCCCCCATCTAAAAAAGTAAAAAGTACACTCTATAATGCAGGGCAAGGATAGTTCACCAGGATTCTCTATAGCCTAGATAATACCGACTTCAAAACCAACATTGGCAAAGTCCTCATCTATAAAGAAGAGATTATTACAGTATCCACCTCATAGGATTACATGAGGATTAAGTAAGCTGATACAGAAAAACATGCTTAGTATAGCACCTGACACATGGTAAGCACTCAGTACATGTATCAGTTATTATTTTCTAAGACAAAGATTGCCTTTGGCTTGATTCTATATTCAATTAACAACATTCTATTAATTCTGATTTTTACTTGTACCTTAATAATACCAGAAGGGAGCTTACTTGAAAGAATTCTAATCAAAATTTAACTTCTAGATCTTCATAGTTAAAGACTGGATCATGGAACTGTGGTTCTCAGTAGTTCTGTATATCAGGAGGCATTTTTTATTATCACTATGACTAGGCTGCTGGTGGAATTTAATGCCTGGGGACCAGGGGTGCTGGTTGAGATCAGTCCTACACAATAGAAAAATTGTCCTGCTCAAAATGTCCATAGTGTATGAATTGATAAAACACTGCACTAGACTACTAGACTACAATGATTCCACTAAAATACTTACCTCGAAGGCCTAGACAGTCATCTCTGGACTTTGTCTAAATGCAAAATTCTATAGTTCTCATAGTTATCTGCAATTTCATATCTGATAATCACTGTCTGCTGCCCCAGAGAACTCCACCAATTGCCCTAGATGGTATGTGCCAGAAGCAGAGCCCCTGCAGTTTCCGAAACTGGGTCATTTATTCCAAATAAAGTTTGCTGACAACAATCCAGAGACAGTCTGGTAAAGTGGAAAGGTCCCTCAAGAAAGAGACTGTCTAAGCCTTACACAAAACCATAGCAGAGGATTGGACTAGCATACTCACATTAGTGAGATCTTCGAAAGCTGATCTCTTTTTGACTGCTCCCTGAAGTGAAGATGGAGATAGCTTCATTTGGCAATTCTCCCCCATCTTAAAAAAGTAAAAGAGGTAAATAAGTATATCCAATTGTCGACAATCTCTTCAGGGACTTTAGGTCCTCTTTAGGGCTCAGGGGAAACTCCAGAATCTCAAAGTAACTGGGGATGCATGTAATAAACTCCAATAAACTACAACAAAAGGAAATTTTGGCACTCAGAGTTGTTTATTAAGTCCCTAAAGGTGATAGTCATTGATAACGGGGTAAATCTATCAGGAGACAAGATGACCTTCAGTTTACCTCACAAAATGAGCAAAATATAGCTCATTTTTCCCCTTATTTCTCTCACATTTATGGTTATCCTATCCAAGTGAACCACTACCACCCTACTACTTCTAGTCATTCCTTTAATATAGATGCTTTCAGATAAATAAGTTCAATAATTTAACAAACATCTGTCTCTTAAGTTAAGTAGCTTTTAAAACAGCAGTCCCCAACCCTTTTGGCACCAGGGACTGGTTTCATGGAAGACAAATTTTCCACAGACAGTGGGGTGGGCTGGTTTCAGGATAATTCAAGCACATTACATTTATTATGCACTTTTATTATTACATTGTAATATATAATGAAATGATTACACAACTCGCCATAATGTAGAATCAGTGGAGCCCTAAGCTTGTTTTCCTGCAAGTAGACAGTCCCATCTGTGGAAATGGGAGACAGTGACAGATCATAAGGCATTCGATTTCAAAAGGTGCACACAACCTAGATCCCTCACATGCGCAGTTCACAATAGGGTTCATGCTCCTATGAGAATTTAATGTCTCTGCTGATCTGACAGGAGGTGGAGCTCGGGAAGTAATATGAGCGATGGGGAGTGGCTATAAATACAAATGAAGCTTTGCTCGCTCACTGTTCACCGCCTGCTGTGCAATTGTACTCCTAACAGGCCACAGACTAGTACTGGTCCTCTGTGACCCAGGGGCTGGGGACCCATTTTAAAAGACATTACCAGTAAGGATAATAGCACACATATCTAGATACTACTCCAGGGTCAGCTCTTTACTAGCTGTTGACCTTGGACAAGTCACTTAATCTCTGAGCCTCAATTTTCTTATCAGTAAAACTAGGTAACTTGCCTTATAGTCCTTCAGGATTAAATAAGAGAATACACGTTTTTTAAAAGTTTGTATGAACTGTAAATTGGAAGAAATAGTATTTAAAAGAATGTAGTCTGATATGATTGTAAACCTCACAAAGAAAATTTTCTATTAAAAACATGTTTGTAATCTAGATTAATCTCAGATTGTTAGTGTACATAAGGGAGGGGTGGAGAAGGGAAGGAGGATGAATATTTTGGAGCAAAAGGGGCTTTCTTTCCACATATTCTGTATCTGTGCATGCCTTATCCGATTCCCAAATGAATAAGACCATCTCTGTAGGGTTAGAGGTTAGGGCAAATCATACTATAGGAGTCTTCTACCCTCTAACAGCTTTATGTAGTTAAAGTCTTCTACGTCTCAGATTGCCCTTATAAAATTCTGAGAACAAACCTGCCCTACCTATATCAGAGAGTTGTTATAATGTGAAGCAGGACACCAGGATCAGATCATTTGCTCTGTTCTCCAGCTGTACCATTAATAGTTAATACATGGCACAGTGAGTTATCAGAGTTGGATTCATGACACAATAAACCAATCCAGCACACAGAGCAATCTTTAAAAAGCTGAGAAGAATTACTTTCATTTTCTAGTTGATTAAGCCAAGACATAAGTAAACTATTAGTCTTTTATCTGGTTCATGATAAATAATCCTACCAGAAATTACCCAAAAATGAAATATTATTTTCTCACAATATAACTAAGAAATAAACTGTTATCCAACTCTTATTTAATATTACTGGTAGAAATAATTGACCTAAAATAAAATTACAGCTGAAACTGAACTCAATAAAACTTAGACTTGCAAAACGTACTCCAACAAAGTTGGTTTTGTAAAAATAACTGCCACTAAAGAAAAGTTACAATGAGAGAACACCAACCAGAAAATTTGATGTTGACAAAAGTCTGATCAATGTATCAAATCTTTGTGTGTGTGTGTGTGTGTTTTCTTTTTTTTTAGACAGAGTCTTGCTCTCTGATCACCCAGGCTGGAGTGCAATGGCATGATCTCAGCTCACTGCAACCTCCGCCTCCCAGGTTCAAGTGATTCTCCTACCTCAACCTCCCGAGTAGCTGGGATTACAGGTGTCAACTGCCACACCTGGCTAATTTTTGTATTTTCAGTAGAGACGGGGTTTTGCCATGTTGGCCAGGCTGGCCTTGAACTCCTGACCTCGTGATCTGCCCACCTCGGCCTCCCAAAGTGCTAGGATTACAGGCATGAGCCACCGTGCCCGACCAATGTATCAAATCTTTCTTGAAAAATGTACATGGAAAAAAAATTGGCACCTCTGTGAAAATCATTTTAGTAAAACAAAAATAAACATCATTAAAAAATGTTTATCTGTACTCAGAGAAAAACCAATCAAGGAAATTAAATTCACCTAATGATGTTTTGCTCCAGGAAATACTCTCTTGATGCCAATTCATTAGTGCTAGTATAATTCTGATTAAAACATGTATGATGATGAACACAGAATATCAGGTTAGAATGCCAAACTATCAATAAAGTCAAAACAAGAGAGTCAAAATATACCCATTCTTCAAACTTAATAGCTATAAAAAGCAAAATAATATTTGTACTCATGTATCCTTCATACTCTCCCCAGAATATACCAAACAGCCTTTCAGCAAGGTGCTAAGCTTCTCAGAGAAAGTAAGAATATGGACATGATCATTAAGGAGTACTGAGTGCTGTTCCTGAGTGTTGAGGGTTATGGAGGGTGGCCTTCATTTGAGCCCTGCATTTTATGAGAAATAAGAGTCCATATTTTCTCCCCAAGTTCTAATTTGTGGCATTCTCCAACTACAAGGGCTGCCACCCTTCCCCACTTTCTCAGGTTAAACCAGACATGTTTCAAAAGATTCACAGGTGAGGATAGGTACTGAGCCAACACAGGAAGAGACTATCAAATATATTGTTGGGAAAGACAGCTTGCTCTTGCTGGGCACAATTTTGCTGGACTGAGATTTCATAGGCTCATATTTGGAGCTCTGGGGTAGCAGTGGCAGTAGCACCTCTTACAGATTCAACCACATCTTGTCCAAGGCAGGGTTGCAATCAGAAAGGGACTCTTTAACACCATTCACCAGAAACACCACAAAATTATCTGAAAATTCTTGAGAAAAGCCAGTCTATCTATAACATCCCTAGGAGAAAACAGACTTTGATGTTGGGCAGGTCTGATTTCAAATCTTGGTTTTATCACAATTAACCTCAGGAAAGTGACTGACTTAAAATCTCTGGGCTTCAGTTTCTTCATCTGTAAAATGGAGATAAGTATACCTACCTCTGCAGCATGTTGTTCAAATTAAATGAGACACTTTATGTAAAAAGCCGAGCACAGTGCCTACCATCCTCTGTGAACACTGTGATGTTGTCTAGCCCCTAGTTTAGGCCTAGCAACACTGGGGACTAATTACATAGGAGTTTTGCATTGAAAATAATGAAGAACATGACAGATCATACAGTATGGAGGCGAGCTTGGTAAAGCTAATGTTCTTTTAAAGGTGTGGGGTCCTGGCAATAGCAATTATGACCGTACAGAGAAAACAAAAGAATAACTGCACACACATGTATTCATCATAGGCCAGGCAGCATTCAAAGGCTGCATTCAATCAAAAGAAACTGTAATCCAGTTCTAGACACCTGGAAGTAAAAAAAATTCCAAGGATGCGATTATAGCAAAAGAAACTAACTTACTGAAAAATCACTTGACATAAGAACTTGATCTTGGATTTCCCAGCTTCCAGAGCTGTGAGAATGAAATGCCACCCAGTCCATGGCATTTTATTATAGCAGCGCAAACTAAGTACTATAAAAACATAATGGAAAGTCAGTGATCTTGTTGGGGATAAGGGCTGGAGAAGGCTTCACAGAGGAAGTAACATTTGATCAGGACTTAAAATGACAACCAGGTTCCCAAGGTGACTTGGAGGCTTCCAGGCAAGAAAAAAAGAAAAAAAAAAAAGAAAAAAAGCCTGCCCCCAGGCAGAGGCATGAACATACAGACTTCAGGGATGTCCTAGTTGTCTGGAGTATGGAGCATAAATAACATGTTGGGCAGGGGTTAGAATGAGGCTAAAAAGCTAGGCCAGGGCCAGGCTGGTAAGAAAATGAAACAGAAAAGACTGCAGCTTGAGGGGAAAGTTTAAGGAGAAAGACCCATTTGGGTTTCACTTTCGATGGAGAAGGACCATTTTGTAGGTGAGGAAATGCCAGTATAGGTATTCACATATATTACTTCAGTTGATTCTCACAACAAAACTATGAGGCTAAGCAGGGCAGGTACAATTTTCTCTATTTTATAGTCTCAGATGAATTAAGTAACTTACTACCCAGGACAAACTATTAACGGGCATAGATTGCTCAGCTTTTCCCAGAGCAATTTCTAAAATACCATGAAGTCTCTTTGATCACACTCAAATACATTCCAAAACAGTGAAAGGCCATAGTGTGAGGAAGTAAAATGAGCACAGGTCTTGGAGTCAGAGTAATTGGGCTTCTAAGCCAGCCAACTTAGCATTTCTGAGCCTCAGTTTCCTTATTTGCAAAACAGCTATAACACCACTTACTTGCAGAGGACTTGCGTGGCAAATGCAAATTTACATGTACGGAACCTGATGCATGGCAGGCATTTAATAAATGCTGTCTTACTCCCGTCTTCTTCTATCAAATCCAAACCTATACTCCATCTCATCCCTCAAAACCCAGCCAATCAGCAATAAAGCTAAATTGGGTGCACCCGCCCTTAACTGCCCTGTATGAAAATCACTTACTCCACTATTATTATTTATGCCTCATACAATTTTTTTTTTTTTATGGATGACCAAAGACTCACACTCTGAAACCTTTACCTTTTAAAAGGAAAAAGAAATATGGAGTCCATAGGCTAGAAAACTCTCAGCTGATGGCATACAGGTTAACTAAATCTCAGAGAAAATAAGGTTATTTAAATGATAGTCATATACCTCATTTATTATCCTGAACACTAATCACTTGCATTGAAGGACTGACACACTGACTTCGGTAAACTAATTTTCCTGGGGATAGGAAGAGGAGAAGAGGGGATTGACACCATCAAAAAGATCCTTTCGTAAAAGGACACTCTGAGGAACACTCTCAACTTCTGCCACCTACAGAACCCTGAGCCTTGGGCAAGAAAATTAGAAACCTTTCCCCTTTTCAGACTTTCCACGTCCCCTACGTACACACTGGTAAGTGTTGCAGACCCCACTGGGCCTCCTAGGACTGGTGCTGAAACCAACACAGAGGCAGCAAGGCTAAGCTGATCAAAAGGTCTACAGAAAGTAGTAGCAACTTCATTTTTTATATAAAGACAGGTTACAGACAGCAAGGCTCTGGGGAGAGAACACAGCATTGTGTCAATAAAACAGCACTGGGCTGGGAAGGATGCCTAAGGTCTAGTTCTGGCCCTGCTCTTAGCTGGCTGGGTGATACTGGGCAAGTCCCTTTCCCTCTCTGGGCTCCAGTTTTCCTACCCAATTAAACAAGGCAGCGTAAATAGAGCCTCCTCGCTATTCATTGTGGTCAATGGACAAGCAACATTAGCATCACCTGGAAATTTGTTAGTAATTTAAAACCTCAGGCCCCAAACTAGAACTATCAAATCAAAATCTGCAAATTAACAATATCCCCAGATGATTTCTATGCATGTTAAGGTTTAAGAGCCAATGTTCTAGGGTTCCTTCTACCTCTGATCTTCTATGATTTGTAAGTGGACCATAGCAGTGGATGGGGAGAAAGCCAAAGCTGAAGGAGGTTGCAGGTGGGAAGAGCCAGTGAAGATAAAGGGTTAACAATAGAGTGAGGACACATGTCTCCATCGTCCCTTCATATCCTTCAACCTGTAGCTCAATAAATCCTGTAAGAAACATTCTATGACTTAAATATGTCTGATCCCTCTGCACTTGTAGATGCAATTAATCCTGCACACTTTCACTTGTGAAAAGACGTTTGCAAAAGGACTCTGATTCAGGCGGGTATGCTAATTGCTCCATCTAAAAGCTGGGACTCAGTCTCATTTGCTTTGCCATCTCATTCTTTAACAAACACTCCCCCTGCCCAACCTTGTACAGGGCTCACTTCACAGACTGCTGATTGACAGGAGAACGAAACAAAGTTTCCTCACAGGAAGGCCGCGCATGCCAGCAAGAGAATACAGCATGGGGCTGGAGTTACGCCCAATGACCCACCGGCAGGCAACAGAGCCAGACATTCGAGCGGGCAGTATTTGCCCAAATATACCTACCTCACACCGAGATTGGGGACAGACAGGAAAGACGACGGATGCACCCCGACCAGGAGAGGCCAGGGAAATTAACGGAGCTCTTTACTGTAACGACCCACGTCCGTCTCAACCTGGCTCCCGCACCACTCCGCTAGCTCGGTTGGGATTTTTGAAAACTACAGCCTTCAGGAAGTACAGTCGATTGGCCAGCAGAGGACCAATCAACGTGCATAGCTGCAACATAAAATACCCTAACAGGAAGGGGTGGAGCTGGGTATTTTAAAACCGACTGCAGCCTCTGAAGGACTTCGCACGAGTGTTGTTTCTAGTATAATTGGTTGGCCCAGGCTGGGTTGATATGCGGGAGTATCAGGTCTCTTTAAAGACGCGTTTTTGGCCAGTCTCACTCCTGTACTCCCAGCTTTTTGGGAGAGCGAGTTGGGGCGGATCGCTTGAGCCCAGGAGATGGAGATGAGCCTGGGCAACATGGCAAATTCCTGTCTCTACGAAAGATATAAAAATTAGTCGGGATGTAGTGGCAAGTGCCTATAGTCCCAGCCGCTTGGAAGGCTGAAGTGGGAGGATCGATTGAGCCCAGGAGGCAGAGATTGCAGTCAGCAATGATTATGCCGCTACACTCCAGCCTGGGTGACAGAGTGAGACCCTGTCTCAATAAAATAGAAAATGCATTTTCATTTAAATAACCTTGCCAGAGGATGGGACGAGCAGAGCGGCTGTATAATGCAGGTACAGGCCTATTAAAACATTAATATTAATAACCACTTATAGAGTCAAGCATTAACTCCTGTAGGCTTCACAAACAACCTTGTGAAGGAAGCAAGGCAGAAGTTACTGACCCTGTTTTATGAATGAGCACCCAAAGTGCAGAGAGCTAATAGTAGTTATGTTAATTCAGCATGTGCTACTTGCTATAACATTTTTTACTGCTTTAAATCCTGTCCAAAAACCAGATACTTTTATTATTGCCATTTTACAGATGACAAAATTGTAGTTTGCTAATATCTCAGTATCAGAAAGCTACATCATGGCAAAATAGGAACTACAACCCAGATGTTCTCATTCATTTCATTCATACATTAGTTCAATTGTTTAACAAATATTTACTGATCACCTGCTTTGTGCCAGAACTAGAAGACCATATATAGACATACATACATACATATATGGCATTGACAAAAGACTTGAAGAATTTATAACTCTGCCCTTTCCTCTGAGGAGGCAAAGAGAAATAGAGATGCCAGAGATAAACGCTAGAACTTCTGCATATACAGCAGGCACTCTACCACTGAACTACATCCTTACCTTTATTATTAGCCCATTCTCCTTTTAGTATCCCATAGCCTCCACATTAAAGGTAAAATATTCATATGATCCCAGACCCTCTTCTCTTTTTAATCTCCCTAGGTTATCTCATCCAGATACATGACTATAAATATCATCTAAAAGCAGTCCCTAAATTGCAGGTTCATTAATCCAAATTACTATTCCACATCTCCACTTGGATGTCTAACAGACATTCAATATCTTAACAATAGAACTCTGAATTGTCAAGCCCCTCCCCAAACCTGTTTCTTCTCTCAGTATCCCTCATTTCAGAAATTGATACCACATCAAACCCGTTATTGAAGCCAGAAAGCTGGGTATCGTCTTTGAGTCTAACTTTTTTCCATCACCTTTGTTGATTTGAACTCAAAATATATCTATATCCATCAACTTATCTCCATCTCCACTGCCACCTAGGCTCTCATTTGGCTCACTGTCAAGAGCCTCAAAGCTGTTTTTCCCCTTTCCAAAGTTTACCTTTCTCTGATACAAATACAACACAACAATAAGAGTGATCTTTTAAAAAAAGAAAAATGGCATTGTGTCCCTCCCTTCTTCAGTAATTTCCCACAGAATTTAAAGTAAAAATCCTAACTACCTACCCTGGCCTATAAGGTCCTGCCTACCCCATCAACTTCATTTCATAAACTGCATTTCACATTCCCTGCATTCAACCATAATAGTCTTCTTTCAAATATTTGAATTTACCAAACTCTCTCTACCTGATATTTTTGCACAAGATGTTCCTGCTGCCTGGAACATTCTTCCCTGTATTCTTAAAATTGCAAGATTTTTTCTCAAGGATCAAGTCTCAGTTTAAATGTCCCCTCTTCAGAGAGGCCTTCCCTGCCCATGTTACATAAGGAAGATTTTTCTCCCATTCTATTATATTCAGCCCCTTGACACTTTAAAGAGTAAATATTGCTATTTGTAACTTTTAATTTCTCAAGAATGCAAGGTTCATAATGAGTAGGACCATACATGTTGTGCTCTGTCTCCAGAGATTAGCATTAACAAAAGCTCATGTTTATCAGTTATTTACTATATGTTCAAAATTCTTCTAACATTTACAAAAATCCTATAAGATATTAATATACTTATTTGCAGATGAGGATCCTGAGACATGGAAAAGTTTAGTAACTTGTCCAAGATCACACGGCTAGTAAGTGGTCAGATTGGAATTTAAACACAAGCAGTCTGATTCCAGAGAACAAACATAACCATTACCCCGTATCTGCCTCCTTGATAGATAACTGAAAAATATTTGTTAACTAAGTAAATGACTATCTTCTTGTAAAGGTCATCATTTTAGACAAGGATCCCACTGGGAAGCACTATAAAGGAAATGTAGCATTAACACAAGTCACCATAGTCTTTTTTTTTATTGCATTTTAGGTTTGGGGGTACATGTGAAGAACATGCAAGATTGTTGCATAGGTACACACATGGCAGTGTGATTTGCTGCCTTCCTCCCCTTTAGTCATGACAGGAAAAGGTCTACCCACCAAAACAACAGCAACACAAAAATCACAAAACAAGCAATTTCACTTCTCCTATTTTTTCCTAGCTTTTCACATCAACAACAACAAAAAAAAACTTATTGAGTAAAAGTTGTGGTTTTTCCAAAATTTTTTAAATGTATTTTCCCTTAGCCGGCATAGCTCCAGTTGACTTAAACTTTTCTTTGGGTACCATCCAGAGAAGACACAGAGAAAAGAGAAGACAGCCCTTTGACTCCACAATTTGTCAATATTTCCCTCCTCCCAGGTATAAAACTTCTCATAAACTCTCCTTTCTCTTCCCTGTACCTCTGTATTAAAGCCTAATATGAAAGATCTGTTATTATCTACCTTACTTTAACATGAAATATATTGCAGATGGATCCAAGATTTGAATTTAAAATGGAACCATAAAAATACAAGTCAAGCTATAAAAGAATATTTTTCTAATCTTGCAGAAGGAAAAAAACTTTCAAAACAGGCAGAAAAACTTTTTAGTAGCTAAAAATCTTCAAAATCTTATAATTTCTTTTTGGCAAAACAGCAAAACAAGGTTAAAAAAATCTAATAACAAACTGGCAAAAACATTGATAACACAAATGACAAAAGAATACTTTCCAAAATGTACAATGAGAACTCTACAATAGATAAAATAGATAAACTTCCCATCAAAAATGTCAGCAAGAATATGAACAATTAGAAAAGAATTACAAATGACCAATAAACATGAAAATATGTTAGATTTCACTAAAAAATAAATGCTGATTAAAATAACAATAGATTATCTTTGTTCAGGACATTGACAAAGGTTAATATATTGATAATAACTTCTGTTGGTGAGGGGGTGGGTAAACAGTTATTGTATTCACTGTCGATGGAAATAAAAACTGCCATAAACTTTGGGAAGGTTGTTTGAAAATATCTGTTGAATTTCAAATGTTTGAACCCATTTACCCAGAGATTCTGCTTCTAGTAATCTTTCCTACAAAAATACTTAGTTCCAGAAATAAGGCTGAAAATTTCCCAAATCTGGGAGACATATAAATCTAGACTGAAGATGCTAAGCAAATCCTAAACAGGATAAACCCAAAGAAATTAACACAATAAACATATCATAAAACTTCGGAAAATTAACAACAAAGAAAAAATCCTTAAAAGCAGCAAGAGGGGAATGAGATATTTCTAATAGAAGTAAAAATTTCTGAATAACAGTAGATTTCTCATTAGAAACTGTGCAGACCAGAGGGAGGTGACACGATGTTTTCCAAGAACTAAAAGAAAACAGCTCTAAACACACAATTCTATATCCACGGAAAAGATCCTTCAAGAGTGAGGGAAAGGAAAATCGAGATATTCTCAGATGAAGGAAACAAGAGAATCTGTTGCCAGTAAATCTACCCCAATAGAGTAAAAATTCACAATTTTTTTAAAAAAGGTGTAAAAGAAAGTATCTTAAAACATCAGGAAGAAAGAACAATACAAAGAGCAAAGTATGGGTCAATTCAATGGACTTTCCTTCTGATCCTGAGTTTTCTCAGATACATTTGAAAGTTATACTAAAAATTATAACATTGTCTGATGTGGTTCTCAGTGTAGGTACAGGAAATGTTAAAAACAGTAATATCAAAAAATAAGAAAGGATAAAGAGATGTAAAGGAAGGAAGAAACATTTCTATACCTCTCACAAACTGGGAAATAACTCCAGTAGACTCTGAATACACACATACACACATACAGTAATACCAGAACAACCACTATGAAAGACATATACGGAGAGAGACTCAAAACCACTATAGATATATCCAAATGGAATTACACTGAATGTTCATGTAACTGACTAGAAGCCAGAAAAAAAAAAAAAGAAAATATAACAATGAAAACTAGAAGGAATAATCAGGTAACAAAAAATAAAAACAGCAGATTTAAGGCATGACATATCAATAATCATATTAAATGTAAATAAGTAAAGTGATTAAAAGACAGATATTGACAAAGTGAATTATAAAAAGCACACCCCGATGACATGCTGTCAACAAGAAAACCCCCTTCAAATATAATGATATAAGCAGGTTGAAATTAAAAGGTAGAAAAAGATATATCATCCGTACATTAATTTTAAAGAAACAGGAGTAGCTATTTTAATAT